GTGTTGGTGTTTATTTTATTGTTTTATTGTGTTTTTAATTATTTCCACGATCAGACTGTTGTGTTTTGTTTCTACGCTTTTTATGTTGTAAAACTCTTGCATTAGGTATGGGGATGAGAGGTCTACGGTAATCGCCGTTGGCTTAAATATGCCCAAGTTAGGACTAGCGAGATATATTGCTTTGTCAAATGTGATTAACTCAGAGTCTCGTCCAATGGCAGATGATTACATGTGGTCCTTTTGTTATGTTACACCCTATCAGAATGCTATTTTATTAATATAACACCCCTTCGATAAAAAAAATGCTTACATTTCAAATATAAAAATCAAATTAACTAACCGCTATCTAAAAAGTAAGTGAGTATAAACCTTAACAAAAAAGCCTAATTTATTTACTTACAATGTAATTTAAATTAAACTAATCATTACTACTACGTATTTTTTCTTGCAGAGGTAAAAGTTAATGGGAGCATTTACATTTTTCATTGGGGGCACTAACATTTTTTTTTATATTACTTAGTATTTAAATACAACTTCCACACTAATTAACTAAAAAAGTTAGACTCTATTGGGGGCATGTGCAAAGCGTATGTCCGCCCATATGGACTGCATTGAGTGATTCTACTGATTTACAAAAAATTATATTTAAAATATATTTATTCATAGAATAAAGAAAAAATGACATGATAAAATAGCCAAAATGATCTTCTACAATCACTTCAGTCAATGCAGTAAAAAAAAGTAACGTCAACCTTACTTTTTCTTTATTATTACACAATTCAGTGCGTGAATCAAAAGTTACATGTTTGGTGAAAAAGATTATTGATAAGCCTGATAACAAAGTCACCAAACGGGCTCTAAACTAATCTTTTCATGCAACCCGATTGACCTGGAGTACAACGTAATTTTTTGTGAAATTTTTTGAACATGTTTTTTATAAAGTGCAGATTATATTCATAAAACTTTAACTAAAAATTCAACCGAAAAGTCAGTTATATAAATTATTAGAAAAAAAATTGCACTTTTTATATATATGTTAGCGCAATTATTTCAATAATTTATTTAACTGACTTTCTGATTGAATTTTGTGAACTTAATTTTGAGAACATGTTCACAAGTTTTTATAAAAAATTCTCACCTAAAATTACCTCAAACGAGCTTGACCAGATGGTAGTAGGGTACCTCTCCTCGATCCGGTTGTATGAGAGGATTAGTCGTTACACTAATACACCTCTTTACTTGAAAAAAACATTACCTCTCCCTCCGGATTTTTTTTAAAGAAAATTTTATTGAAATTAAAAAGGAGTACAATGCGAGAAAGGTAAAATAAAATAAAATAAAAGTACATGAAAGGAAAAAGAAAAGTGCTAAATTAAAGCAAGAGTAGTAAAAAGTTAATAAAGAATAAAGTTAATAAAAAGTAGTAAAGCTAAAATAAAAGTGCTAAACTAAATTACCTCTCCCTCCGGATTTTATCAACTTTTCATTTTTCAATTTTATCAACTTTTCATTTTTCAATTTTATGAAAAAAAGTTAGGTTTTTTTTTACAGCAAGTTATCCGGAGTATCAACTTTTGGGTGCACATCAAACATTAAAAACTACAAGAGCCTATTAAACAAATTTGATCATGTTTTTAGTCATTATATAAAATAATAATAAAGAATTATAATTAATTCAGTGATTGTGGGACTTATGCATTTCACTTTTGCTTAATAAATTGGTGGTATGTTCCCTAGCCGCCACCCCAAATAACCCTTCAGGTTTGTTTGCAAACTCACCGGGTAAAAAAAATATAAATATTAACAACCTTAGCTTATGATTTTTTTTACATAAAAAGATCATTGATTAAATAATCTTCTATTATACAAAAGCAGGAGAAAAACTGAACAGTGTTCCTGCCCCAAACACTGTACAATAATGGGTTGGGTTGGGTTACATTGGGTGCAGTAACAGGCCGGGTGACAGATTCTATGGTCTGCAACTTTGATTTAATGAAAACCCAATGTCCAATACTTCAGTTTGTGTGGCTCAAGAAACTAATTTAATAGCTCAATTTCTAAAATTGAGCTATTATCAATAAAAAAAGGACTTACATTGTCCTTAAAATCTTAGAGTCCACATAAAAGATCCGCATGCAATCTTTGAGTGACACAAACATTTAATGCATTGTACTATGTTTACAAATATATGATCATTAGGATTTTGCAAGGTTGTATCCATATTAGGGGTGGGCATGGTCCGGGACGGTCCGAGATTTGACTTTTTAGTGGCGGATGGTCCATTAGTAAATCTGCCACTAACAAACATTGTAACATAAATTTGTGACGGAATATAGCTCGCGATTGTAGAGAGAAATTGATAGGTAGGGTGTGTATGTGCGGAATGAATTTAGGTCGGATCAGTGAGTACAAATTAATATTTGTATTCAATGGAGAAATTTAAAGTCTGATTCATTCCGTTATTGTTATGTGACGATACATTTTTGCCACTAGAATCCGTCAATAATTATTGTCTAATGAAATATGAACATATCCGCCAAACATTAGTGACAGATGTTTGTCTGTCTCTAAATTTTGTCACATATTCCCGTAGGATGGCCGTCCACTACTAAATTCCTCCACAAATGTTTGAATTTCTTGTAGTGTTATTATATTTTTCAAATGTATACAATTTTACAAATATAAGTAAAAAATATGTAGAGAATTTTATAAAGATTTTCTAATAAATTTTATATTTACATCTATAGTTTTATCTAATTTAATGTGCATTTGGAGTTTAATTAAAAAGTTATATTTCAGAAAAATTATTTTTATTTTGTGTGATAATGATGTATAATGACTATTAAACTATAAATGAAAATAATTTTCTTTTTATGATTTTAATCTAAAATTTTCTTTAAAAAATAAAATATAATATGGTTGTTTTAGCATTTTAACCTCCAAAAAGTAAGGAAAGATAATATTTGTCAGCAAAAAGTAAAGGTGGAATGGCATATAAAACATACAATATGAGAGCGAAAACTTAATGGAGATCAATTTTAGAAAGTATTTCGCCAGAACTTCATCAATCACTTTTAGTCGATTTCATCATTTTCAGTCGATTCACTCAAATCCAGTGTTACCAAGTAGTCTCTATATGAAAATTATGAAATACATAAACATTTTGATGAACCTGAAAATATAACATAATATTTTAAAAAAAAAAAAAACAGCACTATAAAGCACCTTCCATTGACCGTAGCTCATTCAATCTAGGAATTTGTGGTCTATAAGGCTAACCGCAACCCGCTCCGTCAATAAATCTAATTCCCCACCCATTTATACGTATTCACTCAGTCAATTCATGATTTCCGTGCAATCCAGCACCGTCAATATATTCACCCATCAATTTTTTTCTTAATTAAAGCCTTCTTTTATTATTATAAATTACTTTTGCGTTACTGTTTTTTGCGAATAATAATGTTTTTAAAAGCCATACATTTCAATGTAAAAACAATTAAATTTGGAATATAATTTTTTGTCGCTAATATAGGCCTAGTTTTGAAAAAAACTGAAAGATATAACAATATTATTTCAATAATGAGATCTTAATTTTAACATTTAGATCAACTTAACAAAAATTTAAAATAAAAAATCTCCAACAGATGAAACTTAATAAATTTTTTTTAAAAAAATTAGATATGCTAGATTGGTGTAATATGAAAAATTATGAATTTCAATAGGAGGAATTTGACTTGGCAGTTGGCACCCCACTTTTTGGGTTATATTGGAGCGCGGCTTTGCATTATTTTTTGGGCATGCAGGTTACTCCTACACAGGGTGGACTCTTTCTTGATCAACATAAATACATTATGGACTTGTTAAAAGTCGTAAAAATGGATGAGGCTAATCATGTGGCTACGCCGTTAGCCCCCTCTGCTTCATTAACTCTGTTTGACAGTTCAAGCTCCTGTGATGCCACTCTCTATCGCCATGTCATCGGGTCACTTCAGTATTTGAATCTTACTCGACCAGATGTTGCCTTTGCTATTAACAAATTGGCTCAATTTATGCATAAACCTACGGTTAATCACTGGCAGCTTCTCAAACACCTTTTGTGCTATCTACACGACACTGCCTCTCATGGGCTCTTTCTTTTTCGCAGCACCTCCTCCTCTCTCCGTGCCTTTGCTGATGCTGAATGGGAAGGAAATCCCGATGACCGCTCCTCTACCAGCGCATATGCCATCTTTCTCGGGGGGTCCCTTATATCTTGGAAATCTGTTAAGCAGCGCACTATTGCTAAATCTTCCACGGAAGCAGAATATCGAGCTCTTTCTACTGCTGCCTCGGAAATTATTTGGATTGAATCTATTTTGCGGGAGTTGCGGCATCCACTCCTTTCTCCTCCACTCCTCCTTTGTGATAACAAAGGTGCTACTACATCTTCAGCCAATCCTGTCTTCCACTCTCGCATGAAACATGTGGCTATTGACTTTCATTTTGTTCGGCAGCGAGTTCAACGTGGACTTCTTGAAGTTCATCATATCCCATCTTCTGATCAGATAGCTGATGCCCTCACTAAATCGCTTCCCCGACAACGCTTTATCCTTCTTAGAGACAAGCTTCGGATTCTTGGCAGTGACAGAATACCTGGCTTGCGGGGGTGTATTGAAGGAAAAGAATAATTCACATTTAAGACATAATATTGTAGTTAGCCATTACATATCTCTACCATTTAGGATGTTTTTACTTGGACTGTAATTTGCTGTTCTGGTCTGGTCTGGTCTGATCTGGTCTGGTCTGGTCTGAACTGGTCTGGTCTGGTCTGGTCTGGTAAGGTCTGGTTTCTTTGTATTTTTATAACTATCCAAGTCTGGTCTGGTCTGGTCTGGTCTGGTCTGGTCTGAACTGGTCTGGTCTGGACTGGTCTGGTCTGGTCTGGGGCAAATTACAGTCCAAGTAAAAACATCCTTAATATTATATTATTACTTCCCTTATAGACTTGATCAGTGTTTGTATAAATAGAACCCATTGTACACACCAAGCTCAAAACGATTAGCTATAACAAGCCAAATTAGCCTATAATCAAGCTCTCTCATAAGACTATATGAGCCTTTGTTTAAGGTTCAAAGCCATGCTTGAAGAATAAACGGGAAAATTAGACTAGAAAACACAATAGAATTCAGACACACGGAGAAGTATATATGAATAGACTAGTAGTGTGCATTTGTTAAAGAGACAATTATTTTATGGTTGTTGATGATGTTGTTGCCGCCATTGGCAAGTAGAAATATGTAGATACATGACAATACATAATAACATCACATGTATGATCTCATACGAGGTCTTACTAGAGATTGGGCACCATCAACAAAGATATTGGTCCCAGTCATGTAACGAGAGTCATCACTGATGAGGTAGATGACAGTAGATGCCAAATCTTTTTTCACGTCCAGCCATCTGTTCAGAGGCACCGCGTCCTTCACTAGCTTTTCTGCCCTCTCCTTCCCTACTGATAGGGGATACTCATCATTCACATGCAATCCTCGAGAAATCCCGTTCACCCTAATTTTGTGCTTCCCTATCTCCAATGCTGACATCTATTTGTAAAAAGAAGCCATAATTTCTAACCTATTAGTCAAGGCAAAATTGTCACTAAACACAAGAAAAGTCAATTACTCTCTTCGCTCATTTTCAGTCTTCCCTTTCGAGTTGACACAGCTTTTAAGAATTAGAAATTTTGCGGTTGAAATTTACATATGGAGAAAGTGAAATTTAAAGTTAGGGGTAGACACGGACAGACACGGACAGTCTAAACCACTCCTGGTCCCAAGATTTCATGTATCAGTGATTTGGGAGGAACATTTGAACAACTCCATTTCTCGTCCTTACAAACTAGAAACACTGAATAAGCTTGTGCCCACCTCTCGAGATGCAATAAAATTGTTGACCGGATCAGGCACAGTATTTTAGGGCCCCCGGCCAAAACACGCCTCAACATATTAGATATGCCCCCCTTTGTCTTCATTCTGTCCTTTTTAGTGCACCATGAAATGGTTAGTGCTCATAGAACTAGATTTTCTTTTTAGATATGCCCCCCTTAGCTTTCTTTTTAAGGGAATGAATATGAAGTTAGTGCTCATAGAACTAGATTTTCTAAAAGAAAAGCATTTTATGCAGGGGCAGACACAGGAATTCCCGGTAGGAGGGGGCGAGGGGCGGTAGTGCGGTAGTGTAAAAGAATACATACAAATACATACATATATTAAAATTTTGGAAAAAATATACTTAGTAGAAAACAAAATTTGGGGGGGGGGGGGGATTTGCCCCCCTTTGTGTGTGCCGCTGATTTTATGTTTTCAGACTTTTAGACAAATAATAAGTCAAAGGCAGGTTATTCTCCTGACTGCACACTTAGGAGAATAAGTCAGTTATTGCTGCCAAATGGACCATAGATTTTAATCATTATGTTTGATAACTCTAAATAGCAGTGCACATTGTGTTCCCAATCCACGGCAGAAGACTAGAGAACCAGTCACAAGTCCACTAAGATAGTGGTCCCAGACTGGTTCATGTTTTTACGGGCAGGGACATGTCGGCCCATTTTCTTCAGTAATTATTTTGGAAAAACAAAGTATATTGCATCTCCAGCCTAAACCATGACCCTTCTTTCACGGTTCCGGTCCACTCCCTAACAAATGGGGGACCACGAGTCCATGACTAGCAGCAGGCAATCTTGGGACAGGCCAGGACCATGGCTACCCCTTACTTTTAAGCATCACTTTCTCCTTGTAGAAATCCCAATAGATACAGATATTATTGTCTTCAAAATGTTCAAGGATTGAGATTCATCAAAGTACTAGAACGTCGTGAGGATGTAGGTACTTATCTTGTATAAATAAGAAAATTCAAATAAGACAAAGTGTTGATGAATGACAAAAGTATGCTTACCCTAACCAGCTGCTGTATTCCTGCCAAACAAGAACCATATGCAGCAGCTCCTTGATATAACCCTCTTTCCGCACCAATAATTGTGGATAAAAAAACAATAGATCCCCCGGCTTGTCTATCACGTAATCGTTTACCCACAGATTTCAACAAATACCAAGCAGCCATGAAATTAATCTTAACAATCTTTTTGAACTCATCTTCGTTTAACTGAAGATGTTCTTGCATCTTCCCTGTTGCAGCATTTTCACAAATGACACAAGAGCTTCATTATTAAAAAGAAAGAGATATTACCACTCAATTTGTGTAACTTGAAGCAAAGTAAAATGCATACCCAGCTACAATAAGTGAGCATTGAATACCAAGCATATAGGCAACATCATTGAGAAAAGTGCTTGTTGAAAAATAGGTAGGCCTAAAGACAACAGAAAGTAATTGAACTAACGTATTGAACGCCTAAAAAAAGGGCAGCCCGGTGAATGAAGGCATCCCCGCAAGGAAAGGGTCAAGGGAAGGCAAGGTTTAAAAAGGCTAGTTCGGGTATTGAGGCGGTTTGTTGAGAGAGGTGGAGCGTAAGCCTCAAAATTTACCAACAAGTAAAACTTAAAATAGTTAAACTAGTAATAACAAAGTAACCAACTATAGAATATATAATAAAAGTCCAAAAAGTTTCAAACAAAAACACATATATGATCACATCATCAAACACGATAACTCAAAATGAGAATTCTATCACAAAACAGACACATCACAAAGATGACAATTTGAAACTATCGAAGCTTAATCACCATGACTGGAGGGTCTTCGGAAGAATCATTATATATTTTATCTTTTAGCCTTCTCACCGTCATCCCTTCTATCATCAATATCGTAATTCTTAAGTTCTTTCTCTTCATGATTTCATCATCATCATGTACCTCCATTACTTGTTTATTTTTCTTATTTTTTCCTTGGTTACCCATCAGCTTCTTTGTGCAGAAGTATGAACCAGTTTTAGCGACACGTAGAATGCTTAATAGGGAGTATATGTTAGTGTTTATATGAAACAAGACTTGTTTGGGTTGAGTGTACACACGTGTTTAATGTATGAGCCTTTTATTAAATAAAAACACTGCCCTTTTAAGCTACAAGCAGATTAAAAAGATAGAAGCAAAGGAATAACGTCTCAGAAAATGCCTCAAGGCGCACCTCAGGGTGGACGCCTTGAATTTTGAGGCGTAAGCCTCTTGTCTTGCAAAAAACCTAAGCCCCCAAAACCTTCTCTGTACGCCTCCCCTTGAGGCGCGCTTCAAAACCCACCTCTCAAGTACCTTTTTAAACCATGAGGGAAGGGTCTCACCACAGAGATGTATAAGGGGCAAGCCTTTCCCCTGCTCCTAAGACTTGAACTTGTGACCTCTCGGTCACCTAGCAACACCTTAACCGGTGCGCTAATGCTCCCCTTCTAAAGTATTAAATGCCTAAAAATCATAAAATCTCATGTGGGGTTTCAACCCAAGTCAAACATGGGTAATTGAATGGAGAACATTATGATGCTTTGGGAGAAAACCTAAAAACAAATCCAATCATTTTGGGACAATATCTAGCATTAGTATGAATTGTACATTTTGCCCTTTTAGGCGAAGCCTGCATGATTTGTTTTTGTACTCCCCCTAGCAGAACTTTCATGCTAAAAGAGTTGAGGTCACATCTATATTCAGTAATTCCTTTTCAGCATGAGGGACTTGGATTGGCACCCCAATATTTTGCTCCCTAAGGATTCAAGAATCACCTGAAGTAATTACTTTGTTATCATGTTACTTTCTATTTTCTATTTTTGAAACCTAAAAACTATGCAGCATGGAAATTATTTCGTGAAATGTACGTTTTCGTTTTGAAAACTCTACGGAAACTCTTTGGAGACTCTCGAAGCAAGCATTTTTTGAGCAAAAGTTGATGTTTCCCGTTTCCCGTTTTTTCATGATTTTTGCGATTCCGTGCAACATAGCATAAAAACAATATAATGAAAACTAAAGGTAGTAGTTTTGAACTTTGTAAAAATAGTTTTCCAAGTTAACTTTATTCAAGTAAGACCAATTTTTAATTCATTTAGATCATATATCATATGGCTTGTGAAAATGTAAAACCAAAAACTGAAAACAGACAATGATACAAATGGGTCACCAAGAATCACAGATGTGCAAACTCATAATGTGGTAATCATCCTAACCTTTCATGCTCTTCTCTCAATTACTTGTCCATCATATGAAACCAATAAAATCAGATTAGCCTGTTTGCATTCTAACCTAGTTTTTTCTCACTTTCTTCCCTCCCCATATGAATGAGGAACGAAATATATCTTACAGAACTTTCGATAATGTAAGCTCCCTTTACCTTCATACGAATAGCAATGCACTAAAGCATCTAAATAGCCCAAAAGCTTCCAAGCCTTGTCAACCGCTTCATCAAATACTGTCTCTTGATCATCCTCCATATTCAAGCCAACTACTTCCACCACAACATTGCCTTCAAGAGATTGCCTTATCATCTCAGCTACACTCTTCAACCTCTTGTCGTCCCCCACTAAGACTAATCTGATGAAAAAAACATACCAACAAAAAGTCCGATAAGTTTTTTATGGAATCATATATAGATACTAATAATATGGATTCATTTTTCTTTTACTAACCTAGATATTTGTCAGGTAATGTATTTCTATATAATTCTTCATCTTCTGTTTCTCTTACACTATGTAATGCAAGAATAAAATAAAGAGCCAAGAGTTTCATTTTAAAATGTCAACGAAATAGATGGGAAGTCTAATACTGAACAATTGATATTATTGTTTATAGTTTTGTAGTTTATAGAGGTGAAATGCTGAAGAACTGATACGATCTAGCTTTGGCTAGCCACATTTTAGGATAGGGGTCGCATTACAAATGGATAACTTTTATACTAATCTGAAAAATTGACTAGAGATCATGTATGCGGACCATGTGGTATATAGGCTGCATCTCTTCTAGTCTTCTAGAACTCACATATTAGCAAAATAAGATCCAATAATCGGCAACTTTCTACAGCATAAGCATTGGGGGGTGGGGTGGGGGGGGGGGATGAGACAAAGAGGAGTACTGGCAGCCACGCTGAGCTAATTGGTAGGCAATATTGTTGCAGATATTGTCACCATTGGATGTAAGCAAAACCTTCTTTCCAGGATTTCCCATCCTTTAAACAGCAGAGGGCCTGGAAATACATAAAACAATCCATAAAACGTCAAATACGAGTAGAACAGAACGACATCTTCGAGTCAGTAAGCTGACATAAATTCGCAAAATTGAGAAAGAAAATTGCGAAATGAATAGGATTTGTTTGTGTGTTTATCACCTCAGTAGGAAGAAGAAGAAGAAGGGTGTAAAGTTTTAAGGTGTACAGAGAGTTGATTTATTTAGGAAGGATAAGAAGATCATCATCAGGCGGCGGCGTAGGAGGTTAACGGTTTTACTGTTACAGTCAAGCACCTATGACAGAATAGAATCAAGTACCAGCAGACCCAACTATTATTCAAGCGTTGTCGGTTGGCACCTACCTGATAGACTCATAGCTTATCATTTTTTTTTATTAATAATGTCTCATATTCTCATGCGTAACACAATTATTAATACGGAGTAATATGATTTAAAAAAGGTAAAAAAATATGATTTAGATATGAGTTCACTAAAGTAAAATATTGTGGATCATACAATTATTTCTAAAATTGAAAAATGACATGAATTTTAGAACAATTGAAAAAACAAAGTAAGACATATAAAATTGAGTTATTCTTAGTGTGCACAAAATATGTACATAAATAGTACATTGCTTGTGTGCACAAGCAATTAAGAGAATTTTGACATCAAATTCCGCCTTCTTTTCAAACGAATTGTTTGTGTACATTAGTAATTAGGGAAATTTTGTGTATGTCTACTACACTAAGAAATTTTAAATGAAATTGGAGAATGAGTAGTTATAAACTTTTTAACTGAGATGTGACTAATCATCTCCCAACACTTGCTCCAATTAAGCCATTCCGAGTGATGTGCTGGCTGTCATTCCTACCGCTCACTTTCATATAAAAATTCAATACCAAAAATTGAAAATAATATAGAGTAATAATCTCAATTATTGTTAGAAAGCTTATAATGATTTAAATAATTGATTATTTAGACAAAAAACAAATTTTAACTACCTTATGTAAATAATAATCTCACTTGACCAACTACATTTTCAGTCTATTAAACCTAAGTATCATATTATAATAATTTGAACTATCATATGTAGACCTTTATTACATGAAAAAAATTAAAGGAAAAATTGTCATAGGTAAATAAAATGATAGGAAATTATTATAGAAATTTATTTTTCACTATAATGAACTTTATGGGTAGTTTGTGGAATTAGAGAATATAAAATATATAAATATACACTACAAAGAAATTATATAAATTTCAAAATTGAAATTTTAAAGAATATAAAATATATAAATAAAGAGAGTAAAAAGGTCAATATAATAGTGCAAATTACGTACAAATTCAATTTAAAAAATGAAAGACTGGATTTTTTAATGGAAGAAAGTGAAAACAATTAATAATAATTATAATAATAATAATAATAAAATAATAATAATAATAATAATAATAATAATAATAATTTCAAACTATTAAAAATTTGAAAGTTAATAATTTTAATATTAAAACTCAATACAACAAGATGAATTTGTAATGAAACCCAAAAAGAAAAGAAATATTTTTTCTAAAAATAAAAATGTGAAATAAAATGTCATTTTTTTAAACGCAATACCCTTTTAGATTAAGTTAAAATTATATACATAGTATTATAAAACTCTAATTTTGAAATTTAGATAATTTTTTTACATCTTATAAAAAATATCAAGTTGATGATTGAGATTATTAAAAGAAGAACGAGCACAACTTAGATTACTTACAAAATATGTTTAATTTGTATTTAAAGGTGACCTGCTATAACAAGTTATACCCGATCAAGAAACATTATTATTTATTAGCAAAAGGGCCATATATTTTGGATCATAGAGAAAATAATCAAAAGTCATTTCAAGTTAAAACCTTTAGAGCCTACTTGTTGAGGACTCTTCGGTCTTATATGAACCAATGTGGTGAATTCTTCAAAGCGCCACATTTTCTTGCATGCAACGATTCACTATTTTTTGGTTTGAGAATATAATGACATAAATCAAAATGGCTCACTAAATTGTCTGCGATTCTTTGTTGTAAGGGAGCAATCAATCTATGCAACTTTGGACGTTCACTATGAGTCATCCGGAAATGCTTTAATACAGGGGTAAGACTGCGTACATCTGACCCTCTCTTATCCTACTGTAGGTGGGAGCCTTTGCGGCAGAGGGGTAATGATAATAATGATAATAATTTCTTGCATGCAAGTTAAGTCTTATTTCCTCTGTTTTCACTTGTTTGGAAACTATTACTGCATCAAAAGATAAGTGTCTTTACTCTTACTTTCAATTTTATACATACACTGCTCCTTATCTATACAGTTTTATTCATACATGTTACTCAGTGAAAATCCCACAGAAGCAGCATTTATAAATCCTTCAGCGAACACAAAGCCAGAAAGAGGAAAAGCAGAAATACACAATCATCAGCTGATGATAATGAGATGCAGATGAAGATTTAAGATTGGGGCAGCTTCTTTGAGCACTCCGGGCAGCTAAAATGACCTCTGGCCTGACACTTGGCACAAGAGGAGGATGCTAATCTCCATTTTGAGGCAGCTAATTGATAATCATGATCATCATTAGGAGGAATGAAATTGAAGGGTCTAATAACTCCAGACCCCTTGCATTTCCTGCATGCTAACACCTTCAGATCCCCGCATCTTTTGCACATCCCCAGTGAACTGCTCCTCATACAAATTAACAAGAGAAGAATCTTTTATACCTTCCCGATAAAGATTACTAAGACATGGAAAGAAATATAGCAATGAGTGCTACGTGTCATATAAGTAGAATGAATGGGTATATAGCAACTGGAGTAGCTAGAATGATAAGTTGGATTAGGCCAATTAAAAAAGTTGGCTATAAATTTTTGCAGGTTTTTTTACACAAAGCCAATTTAGGGCAGGCCTGGGACTAACTTGGCCCCTTACCTACACCATGGTATATAGGTTCTTCATTGAAATTTTCAGGCCTCTTCTGCTATGCCTTGTTTAGTCTAGTCTAGTAAGGTTTGATATTATGTGCGTTTTACCATGGAGTATTATTTTGTCTAATTTTGCCTCATCTGGTCTAGTCTATTTAAGTTTGGTTAGGTCTTAATCTGGTTTGACTGAACCGTTCAAGAGAAAATATTCATAAACATATTACTAACCTAAAAACATTATGACAAGAAATTCATGTGCATCCCTAAAATTATGTCAGCAATTAATTAATTAACTAGTATCTTGTCACACTGAGGCGTCACTTCATGTTGAATTCTCTGAGCTTTATCATCATGCTTAAGATATACGAAGTATATATCTAATGTCTACTCGTAAATAATACTTTGTTAAGCTTAATCTTAGTTCACACATTTCAATAGATAGATAGCTTTAGAATATGGGTTACAACCATTATCTCCTCCTTTGATTTCAGATCTATGTTGTATTAACAATAACAAAACAAATTGCAAAGATAGATTTGAGGAAAATATTATGAAGAACCTGCAGCTGGAGCTTGCTTTAAAGTTTTAAGTTCTAACCTGCGCTGAGGAGCAGCGAATAAAGAGTCAATCTTAGGGGCAGATATGGTTGCACACAGTAGCAAAGCACCAACGGCATAGCCTGCTATTTCACTTGCTGTTATGTGATCAAACATCTTCCTTCTTCAATTCTTTTTTGTCTTGCCTACTGTAGGAACTTCAAGTTAACCCACCAGCCACGGCAGATCTAGCTAAGAGCAAAGCTCTCATCTTTAAGTACAGGCCAACAGGTTATAAGGCCGTAAGACTGAATATGGTTTGTACTTTGCACAACACAACTTAGACATGTTAATTACTGTCTCAACAAAATGAAGTTTCCCTTTCCTTATATAGAAAAGTATTAAAAAAAAATGTTAAAACTACCCTTAACTTGTTGTTTGTTTAATTTGATATAAAATAGGCGTATAATTAGAATATAGTTCAAGACTTAAATTTCCAAGTATATATACTAATCCGCCCCTTAAGATTGGGACAAGAGGAGGTGGTACGATTATTAAGAAAAGTGAAAAGTAGAGTTATGTGGTTGAAATTGAATTAAAAAAGTGTGAATAAAGTAAGAATGAATTACAACCTTACAAATATTATCATATATGGCATGGGACAAACGTAGTTGGGCAGGTCAAAAAGGAAAAATGGGACAAAGATAGCGGGACGGAGAGAATATATATTTTTATATGTCAACTCACAAATTTCTTTGCAGGACTGAGGTAGTATTTGGTTGATATAGGTTAATTATTTATTGGTCTTGGAATCCTTTCAAGTCTTTGAATTTATGAACTGTTTTTCTGTAATATTTGGTTTTATACTTCATTAGAATTTTTAATGTTGTTTTTAAATACTCCCTATATAAAGATTAATTTTTGACACTTTGACTTGAGTAGAGAATAATATACAAAGTGAGATATATCCAGCAAGAACATTGTGGGTTGCACAACTCAAATAAGCTCTCAAAATCAAATTCTAAGATTTAAAATATATAAAGCAGATCACAAGCTTAATAACATAATAGGAATTTTACAAAAACAGTTTTTGAATTTTTTTAGAACAGTGTAATTTATTAATAAAAGAGTAAGAGCACAAAAAGTTGTTAAAATGATAAGATGTATTGTAGAATAGCTCTCTGTTAAGTTTTACTGGTTAAAATGGCAAATCATGATGGTAATAAAGTATATAAATAGAATAAATACATGGAAATAATACACTAAGTTTTCTTTTTGCACCCATGTTACATGTGTTAGACTTCATTTGTGTAGATTATACCATATTTAACTGCACATAGACACACAAAATGCAAATCAATAGTGCCGAGATACATATATGATATAGATTAAAACCACAAAAATATTTCTCTAATAAAAATTAAATATTTCTCCAATAAATTTATGTCTAATCATTTAATGAAAAACTCATTACTGAAATCCTATGAACACAGAAAACTCTCGAGGAAGAGTATGTTTTGATTTTGGAAACTCTATGGAAACTCTCCAAACAATAGTTTTTGTACTAAAAGATTACGTTTCCTACTTTCCCGTTTCCCCATGATTTTAACATTTCTGTGCAAAATAGCTAAAATCCCTTAATCCCCATGTTTTTTACCCTAAAAGAACAAATACTTGATCTAACAGTTATAAAAGGGTTAAAATAACAGTAGTAAAGTGGCTTTTATCTATTGTTGCACGGAAACATGAGAAACACGAGGAACATGAAGGAAAACTTAAATTTTCAGTAAAATATCAACTATTTGGAGAGTTTTCAAAGAGTTTTCATAGAGTTTATGGAATGGAAACATACTCTTTCCCGAGAATTTCCGTGCTTCATAGGCTTTTATTGTTCTTTTCTTTCACGTTAACATTTTAAAATATCTAATATATTTACAAAAGCGTATTCCACTTCAAGTTCCAACATCAAAAGGAGAAAAGTGTCAGATGAGTACACCAAATTGAGAGCCGTGGAGGCGTGGAGTAAAGAGTAAACAATAGTGCAACTGGGACATAGAGATACATAAAATTGAAAAATCAGTATTGATTTAGTATCAACTTGTATTAGCATGTTAAAAACACTTACTTGGCTAACGGATTAAACGAATAAAAGCCACTTGTCAACTATTTTAACGGATTAGGCAAATTTTCCCAACATCAACTATGTTTGTGATTTAAGATATGTTTAAATCATTTCTGGAGCTATTCGAAGTACATGTTGAGGGGTGAAGGAGGTGGAAATTTTCCAAATTCCAGCCGGAGGAAGCCTGTGAGGGATAATTTGCGGTGGCGCATGGGTGGTCAAAGAAATTGTTGTTGGTCAGCGTGGGGGGGGGGGTGGGGTGGAATCAGACAGATTGTGGGGGAGTTTCATGGTGGATTTTTTTTTGGTGGAGGAGAGAGAGCTGGCGACTGAAGGAGAACAAGAGTGGGAGAAGTGTTGCGGCAGTGGTTGTTCGGGTTGGTGAATGGACAGAGATGGTGAAGGGATGAGCACCAACGGCACACGGGAGGAGTCTTGAAGGTGGCGGAAGCGGAGAAAGGAGTTCAGAGGAAAACTGTTAAGAATCGATTACATGCTAAAAGGTCAACCTAATAGGAGGAGTAATCCAAATCTTAATATAGCACTTAATTCCTTCACACGTTTCCGGTGTGAGAATTCAACACCCCTCCTCACGATCAGACACTTCATCTGGATCGTGTCATCATTCATTTTTTCATCGATTCGTCATTTTCATTTTTTTATAATAATCACGTCATCATTTTTCATAAGGGGACCCACACCTATTAAGATCGGGTTACATTCTAAAAGGTCAACTTGATAGGAAGAGTAATCCAAATCTTAATATAACACTTAATTCCTTCACACGTTTCACGTGGGAGATGGAAAAAGATTTCTCGGCAGAGAAGAAAACCAGGGCGAGGCCAGTTATCCGGAGGGAGCGGCAGTAATCGGAGTGGGCGGCTGCTAAGGGTTGCGCTTTACCGTTCACTGTACAAACGCTAATTTTTGCTAAGTCAGGGTTTTAAACGTGGTAAGACTTGTTTGTACAAAATTAACCCTGAGTTTTCAACTTTATGTACTCATCCGACACTTTTGATTTGAAACTACCAAGGCAGCGTGTAATTGACAAAATAAAAATGAAATTGATTTGAAAAAAAAAAAACTGAATGTCCATACAATTATAGTGGATTTTAGACATATGTTCACATCAATGTTTTTTGCTGAATATCTATGATTTTAATTCCTTGATTTCCTTAAATGTTTTCTGCTGAATATCTATGGATTTAATTCCAATTTTGTTCACAGAATAAGAAAATAATGAAAACACAAGTTTACCGATATTTAATACGGAGTAATTGATAAACATCCAATTCGGCAGATTAAATTCTATTCACAGAATTGGTCATCCAACTTTTCTAAGTAGAAGCCTAGACGGATAGATCCGATTCTTAGCCAAGAAGAGCTTATCCCTGCTAATTTCAAATTCAATGGATCGATGTATAAAAATGTCAAGTGGAAAAGGCCTACCACTGAACTTAAGCTCAACACAGATGCTGCATTCTTACCTGGGAAGGTGACTGGTGGCGCTATCATGAGGAACCAGACCGGGTAGATGTTGTGAGCTATTAGCTTCTGTCTTCAGGCTTCAACGAGTGAGGAAGCAGAGATGAAGGCCATTATAAAATCGACTCAGTTGGTTTTCAGGTGGAGTCTGACTCTGCTAGCTCTATTTCGTTGATGAAGGACGAAGGTGGCTCAGGTAAGTGGAATCGTTGGCTTAGGATAGTTAAGGATAAGGCGTTTGGTAGTTAAAAATTCCACTTTTTTACTTCTTCAACTTTCTTTATTCTCTAAGGTGGATCATCTGCCAATTCAGGCCCGAAGGAATTACTATACTGATCTCTATGAATTTCCCAATAGTGTTTCTATTCACAAAGACCATATTGCTATACTATCTGCAACCACCCATTTAGATAAATTGATTTAGTTTCCAATCATACCCTTTTGGGTGTTTGGATCTGATTCTTAAAAATGCTTAAAGGAGCAGAAGCTGGAGTGTTTGGGTGAAAGTGCAGAAATGATTTTTGGTGCTCAAATTTGCTCCTAGAATCAGTTTTTTTAGAAACTGAGGGTGATCAGGTTCTGAGAACTGATTCTGATTCTGTTCTGTTTTAAAACGAAGCAGAAGCAGAATCAGTTCCAAACACCCCTAACATAACTTAACGTCGATGCCCCGATTCAACTAAATAAATTGCGTTAGCTCCCAATTGGTAAAGCATTGCTTCATTATAACAAGACCAAGTTACTCCACAAAACACAAGTTTTCTATAAAGAACTTGACATAAATCATTCACTTTTCAATATTTTATTAGGCGATTTTGCCTATGATCTGGTAAATTTACCAATTCTGCACTTTACACAATTCTGATAGTGCCACTGTTGCTGTCGTGAATGTGCCTAATTTGCCATCGACTCTGTCACTAAAAGAGAACGCCGCCGCCAACGCATCGGAGAAAAAATGGGCTGTAATTTTTCGCAGACTCTTTCAGCTTCTTCCTCAATCCGGTTTGATCCCCCTAAGCTTTCTTCAGGACCGCCAAATATGTCAGCTTTATCCTGTCCCGCGGTTTGATTAGAGAGCTTCTCGCTTGTGCTGGATTTTGATTTCTGCAACCTCTTACCTGTGTTCTGGTCCATCTTCGTTATCCCCGTTTCGATGTCCTCAGCTTCAGAGGTTTGAAAGCTTATAGTGGAAAAGATGAAATTAAATTTAGAAATTCACCTCCGTTTCTCAAACTAAATAAAAAGGTTAAATCGGAATTTAGAAATTAAATTTTGACTGGAGGCTGTGGAAAGAAAAAAAGTGGAGAATTACCCTTCCCAATATTCGGTTTTAGCTGTTTGTATTTTCTGATAATGTATTTTCTGATAATGTATAAAATTGGGTCAGGTCTAGCCCCCCATTTTCAACTAGTTTATTTTCATTTACGTTGGTTTTCATTTGTTATATTTTGAGAAGAAATGCCTTCTCTGAAGAGGTTTTGGCATGGTCCCCTCTTCTTTTGTATTTTTTCATTTTTTAATAAAACTCTGACAAATGTTTTTCGACATTTGGCCCACCGATTTTGATGACTTGCCAACCGGGTTTAAAAAAAAAGATAAACGTCTAAAGGAATAGTTATATTATTTTAACTAAAGAATTATACAGGATAAAATGCAGCATTCATATACTCCATATGTAGTATCAATTATTTCAAATTATTGGTATTTTTTTATACAAGTAGAAATAAATTACTATAACGACAATTGGCTGGTTTAATTTTTTAAAGGGAAATTATCATTAACCTCCCTTGAGGTTTCATGTATTATCATTTAGGCCCCTGCACTATTGAAAATATGCACTTACCCCCTCCCTATCCTTTAATGAAAGTGTATTAACTCCTAATTACGTTTAGCAAGAGTATGAATTTAGTTTTATAAATTTAATCTGATTATAAATAAATTTATCTGTATTAAGAATCTTTCCACCAGAACATACTTTTGTCGTGGGAACGCGTACTTTATGATGAAATAATCCTTATTATTGACAAATTTATTAGGTGCATAACTACATCTACATGTGAGTAAAATTATAGGACTAGTAGCAGACACAATCGAAAGGTACAAGCTTAAAACAATAAATCTCTAATACTTTTAAAAGTTTGAAAATATATCTGAGATTGTAGAAATCTTGGTGAAACTTTTGTAACGAGGGAAAGATGCCAAATAATGAGCAGGGTTATTTTATACCTAAAACAGATGTTGGTGAAGGACTTTTAGGAGACTATATTGTTACCTATTGGAAATTTGTATGAGAAATACTTACTTTGGTCAATTTTTTGTAAGTAATAAACTTTTGTCCTCGACTTTAGAATTTCCGACATTTCATATTTTAAGTATTGTGAAATTGACATTTGTCGTCCTTTTACTTTGATTTTGTCATCAAAAGTGGAGGTCTAAAAATGTTAACGACCGTGTTTGATAATAGTAGTTGTTGCTAGCTCATACCCGGTTGAATCAGCAGATTGATAATAGCGGATTACATTAGCTTTTTAACTAACCGCTTTCATTAGTGGTTTGAAATAAAATGTTAGTAACTAGGTAAAAATTTGCAATTAGCTTTTCAGACGTAAAATGACCGTTAAAAAATTAATTTAAAAATTTATATATTTAAATTAGTTTTATTTCTTTTTTATTTTTAATTTTAGATCGGGATCGAGACCAGACCGGTGAAAAAAGGCCTCAGGCCTCACTTTATGGGATCGGGATTGGAGTCCATGTTTTGACCCTGTTCATTTTTTTTATTAAAATCATTGAGAACACTTTAAAATGGGCTATATTCCATTTAAAGTAGAAATATAGGTAGTTAAAAAAATATTGGGAGCGAACCTAGACCAATTAGGGGATTGGAACTGAAGATAAGGTCACGGGCCGCCCTAATTATTTAGCACTAACCAATTTGGGTGTGGAACCCGTCCTAAACTATAATGTATGTACTAATATTTTAATTTACATGTAAACATGTTCATATTTTGTCAAATATTTAAATCTACAAGTTATTATTATACCTATATATAGTGATCTCATTTTCAGTGATAACAAAGAGTGTCTAAATTGGGAATTTTCTTGCGTTCAATTTTTAATGGTTAAATCGAGTAGGAAACTTCACTTTTGAGTCGGTTTGGTTCATTTATGTTCATTTGTTTCAATTTTTGTCAAATTTAGCATATCTTGATCACTTTCTATTGAGTAAATTTACTCACTTTACAAATTGAAATGCATAAAACGAACTACCTAGAGTAAGGTCAGTTTTGGTCATTTTTTTTTATTTGGTTCGACTTCCAATAGAAAGGTCTTTAATATGGACAAGTTTATTATTTACCCGACCAGATTTGTGGTTGAATAGAATTACAATATTAAAAGTAGACTCATAGAAAAATTATGAAATTATATTCATAATTTTCTCTGAATATAGATTAAGAGTTATTTAACCATCATTAAAGGATATAGAGGGGGGTAAGAGTATATTTTTTATAGTATAGGGGTGTGATTGATAATGCATCAAACCTCAGGGGGTCAATGATAATTTCCCTTTTTTAAATGCAATACAAAAGCTTCCAACATAGCACTTCACCCTATAATTTCTAAAATAACAAGTCAAAAACAAAATAAAGTTTAAGATCAAGCGAATGTAGAGCCCGTTTGGTAGCACGAAAATCGGCTGATTTGGTTGATTCTGCTGAAATTTATGAAGTTCTGGCTGAAGTGGTTGCATTGACTGATTCTGTTGTTTTAAGAAAAAATATTTTTAAAATATATTTTATTAATAAAATAAAGAAAAAAATTATATGTAAAAATAATTTAAATGGTCATCTACAGTAACTTCAGTCAATACAGCCAGAAAAGTAACTTCAACCTTACTTTTCTGCTTATTACACAATTCGGCGCACGAAAGCACAAATTACTTGTTTGCTGAAAAAGTTGTCTGATAAGCCAAAACAGTGTTGTCAAACGGCCTCATAAAGTAGATCTCAATGAAAACGTCATCAGAAAGCCAATTTCCTTCGTCTTACTATATTTCTTGCAAATTACTTTTCTTTTTGCAAACGTCATCAGAAAGCCAATTACTTTTCCTTCAATATATCTTTTTGCTTAAATATTGAATGATCAACATTCAACACACACCTCTTGCTCTTGCTTAGCTAGACACAATAACAATTAGCTCCAAAATATTTTAATATTTAAAACCTGAGAATATCAAGTTTATACTCCCTCCGACCCACTAACAATTTTTTAATGTTTTAAACCTGAGAATACCATGTTTATACTTCCTCTGCCCACTAACAATGAGACAAGAGGGAGTGACACGCAGACCAATAAAAATTGATTTATGTGGTTGATATTTGATTGATAAACTAAGAATAAAGTAAAAGTAATTTAGAGTCACACAAATTTTATCAAATTTGGTAGTCACACAAATTTTACCAAATTTGATATGAACAATTTTAGTGGGATGAACCACAAAAAGGTAAAATGGAAATATTAGCTGAACGAGGGGGTACTATCTATCAAGCACTTCGTCGAACACTTTACTACAAGTTACTTACAAAAAGAATAATGAATTACATGAACCAAACTAATGCTCGAGTCAACGAATAATATAGTGCAAACTAAACATTAGAACACATGATTAGAGAAATCATCATGTCAGGCCGGCCTGACCGGGAGAGCCGTCCGGCCGAGCCCTTTTGACAACCTTACCGGTAGAATTTTTTGATGAATTTTTTTGAGCATGTTTCTCATCAAGTCTAGTTTGTCCATACCAAATTTCAGCTCAAAATTCGATCGGGAAGGCATTCAAATATTTTTTTGAAGTTGACTGCGTTTTTATATATATATTTTGACGCAGTCAACTTCAAAAAATATTTGAATGTCTTTCCGATTGAATTTTGAGCTGAAATTTGGTATGGACAAACTAGACTTGATGACGAACATGCTCAAAAAATTTCATCAAAAAATTCCACCGGGAAGATCGCCAAAAGGGCTCGGCCGGACGACTCTCCCAGTCAGGCCGGCTTGACAAGAAGAGTTCTCCACATGATTATATGTATATCGAAGGTTTAATCATATTATGAAATTAAAATAAACAAAAACAGAAAATATCGTTACCTCAACAAAATAGCAGTAGTTTGGCGGTAGATAGTAAATAGTTTGGGAAGTAAGAATGTTTTCTTTTGGACAGAAATTTGCTGGTCTGATCTGGTCTGGTTTGGTCTGGTCTGGTCTGTTTAAGTCTGGGGTCTGGTCTGAATTGGTCTGGTCTGGTCTGGTAAACGTCTGGTCTCTGTGTATTTTATAACTATCCAAGTCTGGTCTGGTCCGGTCTGGTCTGTT